TGTGATGATGGATGTCTTGTTGGTTGCTGTGCCGAGTAATCTTGTAGAAGTTTACCGGATTTTCAGAGTTACTTGCTGCCCTCAGCATTAGTGTGATTGCCCATGATGGTTATTTACTGCCCTGATGATTGAGGCAGCAAATACCACTGAAATGCCAGTAAACTTTTATCTTATTACAAGGCGATACAATCCTGAAGTCATAATATTATTTTAATATTTCCTTTCGCAGGTAGCAGGCAGTGAGACAGAAGATTCTTATCTGAATGAATCGTTCCCCGAATTTTATGTCAGCTTCTTCTTAAACGTAAATTTATTTGTATTATACTGTCCTACAGTAATACTAGACATAAATTATATTATTATTAATGTTTTTCGTATTGTTATAAATAATTGGATTGTTTTCGTATTTGCTACGTCCTAAGTTATTTGATATTGCTAAGAATACTTTGACGGATGAAAGAGATTTAGGAGGAACTGTTTGTAGCCCATCTTAACTGCCGAATTTATTATGTCGAATTGGTCAGCTGTACTTTCTTTCGCTAATTCCGCTGAGTCATATTCATCAGTGAGCTCCCTCACTGAGGCACAAATTATACGACCGCAAAGAGCTGTTATTTTAATGAAACAGTTTAATTGAATCTCGTCTTCAACCTCACGTGTAAGAAATGATTTATGTGAAGTAAAGAATAACATTCTTTGCCATATCAGTGTAGCAGTGAACAATGAGAAAAAAATAACATCTCACACATCACATTTGTTCTTTCGCTTGTGTGGGGGATTCAGTTCGTTGGTTTAGCACTTCACGAGCAAAAGCTAACACTACATTGTTTTCGTTCGAGGCACATGTGATTTTATCTTCAGGTTTAGCTACTCATTACGTTAGGTTTCTTTATCTAAACACTTGAAATACGCAAGTGAAAATTTAGTTGCTAACGTCCTTTGCGGATATAAAATAGTCTCGAAGCTGCGTGCTCAGTTCCTTCGCTGTCTTCACTTCCATCCTCAACGTGCTTGGCCAGGAAGTAACGATACTGACCCGGCGCAATTTGAAGTAGTTCTCAACATCACATGAACACTAGATCATGGCTTACAGGATCGTTTGCGTGAAACATGCAACAGAAGTTGAAATTTGAGGTTAGAGTGATGGGGTATAAGAGTGCTGATCGCAACACGAACGATGGTGGCTGTTTTGAACGTTTCTATGAATCTATTATCACGTGATCTCGTGATCCAATCAGCTTCAGTCACTTCCTGTACGTCTCCTCGGGTAGTAGTGTTGTTTGTTGTTTTGTGTTTACTTAAGGAAAACTCAGTGGAATTAGGCATTAAATACGGCGATTTAACTCGTGAAGATTAACTTCGCATGCACCAGATTCGACACAGGCAGGACAGAAAGCTGGTATAGTGTACGATACAAGCATTGAAATTGTGCGAAAAACTAATAAGAGAAAAAATACTAATTTATAGCAAAAAATTAAGGATAAATATTCCATACAGCCATCTCACCATCACTTTGCAGTTACTCTGTGTTAATAATACGGACTATGTCTAATCCTATCGAACCTAACCTAACCTCATTTATCCTAACTTAACTTAAACTGATCATTGTTTCGAACAGAAAATGTTACTAAGAACAGGCCCAGACTTGTTAAGCCTGCTTTAAAACCATTGTCGGCATTGTATGCAATGCGTAAGAAAACTCTGAAACATAAAATTTCCATACTTACCTTTCGGTTTTTTGGCATTATTCCAAGGAATTTTGTACAGTACCGGATTTGGTACCTTCTCTGACACATATAAAACATGTTACATTATTTAAGAAATATTTCACATTCTGTCCATATGGTTCTATTCCATTACACTCACTTTTATTTGACTTCCAATGAGAGGTCTTCAGACTTTGGTCGGGGATTTCAATGTAAATGGGATAAATGGAAAGTTGACGGAGAATAAAGAAACACCTGTCTCACCTTTCCGATTTCTGTTCCTTATTCAGCCTATAAGTTTGGCTCGCATGAGGTGTAATATTACCAACTACACGTCAGAGCGAGCCGCAGGGCCTGAAATTCCATGGTGTTCTAGTCTGACGCAGATTGGACTTCCATACACTTTGTCGGCCTAGTACTGACAGCTGTCCTCTAAACCAGTGGTATTCAAAAAGGCGATTAAATCCACGATAATGACCCACGTTTTAAATACAAGGTGTACACATGAAATGTGCACCATTTTAGTGCAAAATTTGTCATAAACCGAAGGGCAGAAGAATTAAACCAAATCACATTTGAGTTGATATTCCGATAAAGTTTATAATTAATGCGACTCAAGTTTCCACCTGAAGCGCTACACTCACAGTCGTTAAAATGACGTCGTAAGTAGAATAACTCATGTATGTTTTTGAATAAGAGGGCCCTGACGAAATATTGTTCCGACACAGAGCGCACCCATATTTTGACAACGAAGTGACGGACTTCATAAATCACACTTTTACAGAGTAACGAATTAACAGGGCTTATCACCTGACCGCCTTGTTCGCCTGACCTTATTTCCCTGATTTTTCTTTTGGGGGTACATCAAAAATGCTCTATGTACGTGCCACCATTAAACGTGTGTAAAATATAGGTCACAAAACGTAATTGTCACTCCCTCAGACGTGTTTAGTTTCTGTTAATATGCGTTTTAGTTCATGAACAGTATTACAATAAAATGGTACACATTTCACATGTACGTTCTTTGTTTCATGACGCGAAGTTGGTATAGTCAACTATGAAAATGCGCAAATAACACGTTTTTACATTGCCTTGAGATACTCATGCTTTACTTCACAGGCACCCCAAAAGGGGTATGTGACCCCAGGGCGAGGCAGTCCATGCGGGGTCCCTCCTTTAAATGTGTAGGCGAACAAGGTACTTGCTTCTTCCGTCATCATCGCCCTGAAGTCCCGAAACATCGTGTGTATCATTTATGTCTCTGATAGAAGGCAGTTCCAAACATAATACAGGCGTGATGTATCAATCATTGTCACATAAGCTTAGAGAACTGTGTGTAAATATTATTGCAATTAACAAAATGCAGTAGCGTTCATTAATATTTAGAAACGAAACGTGAACTGTCCCGCCCTTTGGAACTTTCTATGCGTCTCTCGTTTTGTTTGGAGACTGTGGCCTTTTGGCTGTGGTAACCTTGGAAACATTACCACTTGATACAAGAAAAAACACACTCGACCAGCGACTGGTTGGTTTACGTAGGATTTCACAAACTAACAAGGAACTATGAGCTTGACTTATTTTTACTAAAGGATCATTAGGAAATTTTTTCTTCCGAGTTTAGTTTATTACAGTAGTCAATTTAATTTGACTTCGTTTTCAGTAAGTTGATACTGAGAACCATAAAGAAAGGTTTGATCCTTGAAGTCAGTCACACGTGTTACTAACATTCAGCTCATTCTTGTAACTTTATTTCTACAGTTGTACTTATCAAAGGTGATTGGTTTTAAATGGTTATGGCAGGTAATTGAGAATAACCAGTTAAATAACTCCATGGCACATTTTCCTGAGAAATTTATAGTTATCAAGAAGCTGAACATATTCTCCACCTTTTATATAACTTACTTGACAACGTCATGTCCTGATTCTTTAATTTTATTCGAATTAATTATGTTACACTTCGTGTTGACACTAAGCACATGTCAAGTATTAACTACGAAACAGCAAAAAACTACTGAAACAAGATCTGAAGTTTGTACCTTCGTAGGAAGTTAGACGTATCCATTATGCATTGAACCGATTCATTGAATGAAATGTAGCATTAGTTTTGTTAAGACCGATGAGTCCGTTATCAATAATTTTTTTTTAATTTCTTTCCCATTTGAAACGCGAATTTGGTTCGGAAACAAAGTTTTAGTTACTCATAAGTTTTATGTGGATAAACATTTGACCCGCTTGAAGACGTGTTTTTTTATAACAAATAATACATATATGAAACTATATGTTTCCATATATAATCAAGGCCGTGGTTTAGACAACACGGAGTTTTCCTCCGGGGGCTTCCCCGGTTTCTCCGTGGCATCCCAACAATTACTCCATTCACACACAGAAGAAGGCAATGGCAAACCACTTCTGGATCATCTGCCAAGAACGTATATGAAAAGGTCCCAGTCCGAGAAAAGGATGGAAGGATCCTGGTCATATGGACCTGTCCTCAGACAGAACACTAAAAATAAAAATAATTTAGCGTTTTACAATTTTAACTTTTCGTGCAGAATAGTGAAACTTCGAGATGCCATCTTAGGAAAATATGTCGCGAGAATGGTGAAGGGCGTGGTTGAAAATACTGGGGGTCAATGATATTAGCGGCGGTGAACCTTTGGCTTCTCTTACGACAGAGTGAATTATGTGTTTACCATCCGGTGCCTCATGAAATTCTTCCAGATGCTATGTTAATACAGTAGTAAATGTCTAGTAGACACTATTTCTTTGGTGCAAGATTTAAGATTGGTCAGAGCTGGTGCCGCGATAGTGTATTTAGATATGGAACAGTCTTTTATTTCGTATATTAGGTCTTACCAATAGTCATGAGCACATTTATTGTTTATTGAAACAAATGTAGGCAAGTATGAAGTAAGTACATGAAGAAATGGTAAGTGGGCGTGCCTACGACTTTCCTACACAGTCTGCTAAACATTGCACGCATCTTTGCTAGCACTGAACGAGATCAAAGAACTTGCTTTATAAATCTATTCCAGAACCTCGCGGTTTCCTGTACTGCGTCATCCTTTTCCGTAGTGATTACAGTTGGGGGCAAACTGATGATTACGTCAACTTTCTACTCGTTGCGTTCATTTGTGACGTTTTTCTGTTGTCTTTTCTGTTTCGTGCATGAGCCGGGATAGCTCAGTCAGTATAGTGACCAGCTACGGGCTGGACGACCGGGGTTCGATCCCCGACGGGGGCAGAGGATTTTTCCTCTAGCCTCTGCTTCCAGACCGGCTCTGGGGTCCCCCCAGCCTCTTATCCAATGAGTATAATCAGTGTGTCCGTATCTAATAAGCAGAAATTAGTGAGAATTTTCCGGTTTGCCGTTTCGTATCTAACGAAGCTAGACAATTGAGGTTCTACCGTAAAGTATTGGTTTACTCATCGGTGACTTCAAATCAGATTCGTGATAAACTAAGTGACACTGAAGTAGGTTTCTTTTTTTGAAAATTCTGGTTTTACGCTACTAATCATCACTCCATTAGTCCATACTCATCTATCACCACCCTATGAGACGTGCGATAGCCCTGATTAAGCAGCACAGCGTTCATTGCGTGTCATTCGTAAAATATTGCCTACACATTAGATTTCGGTGAGGAAAATTTCGAGGAATGAAGACTATCACTTCAGGCTTGAAGATAGAGACAACTTGTTTCTCCGAAACGTTGGCATCTGGATGTATTATTTGAATGGTTTATAAATTATATTGTGTTATATATTCCTAATACACAATAATAAATATGATATTAAAAATAAATTAATATAAATATATAATTTTCTTATAACAAATGTAACTGCAGTGTTAAAAGTATATATTATTACAGCATCTTGCAATGAATCGAATAAAAAATAACAGCTTTTAGGCTGAAGAGATTGCGATAATTTATTTGTAATTTTTATCATAAATTACGTAGAATAAGACATTTCATGACATACTGAAGTATGGCTTAAGGAGGAAAAGTCTGGCAAATGTTTCAGTTTAAAATATCCATATTGTATGGAAGTATATTAAAATAAATTTAAATTTTAAATAAAAGCTACTCTTCGCTCATACTTTACGAATGTTTTAAATATAGCGGAACCCGGGGTACACATTTTAATGTAAGAAACGCGAGTACACGGAGGACATTTTAAAAATAAAATGAGGGGATTTCAATGTTTGGTTTGCTTCAACACATGGTAAAGCAACAGGCAAAGTTTTCAGTAAGCAGATTTTTTATAACTGAAATTAAATACGTTTTGTTGGTAGGATTAACGGATAATTAATAATAGGCACTGACTGTTGAGAGTAAGGTTTTTAAAAATGAACAAATGAACTACATTCGGCTTTAGGTTTGCGTTCCGCCGGGCAGTAAGTGGTTTTATGGCTCATCGACTCTTTGATTTATTCGTGTCTGCCATCTGTAAAACTTCAAAATATACAAGGCGTGTGTCACAATATAAACCTAAAATGTGGTAAAATTATAATTTCTTTCCACAGGAAATACGGATTTTTATAGAATTCCTTTTAGAAGTTTTTATAGAAACCTTGTAATGAATAATTATAGTTAGCAGTGATGAAATTTTCCTTTTAAAGTGCCTTTCACTTCTTTATTACCTTCGAAACTTGTTTTAGACCTTATAGGAAATTGGAAGTCTTTTTTTTATTTTAGTTTTTCAAAACGGCTTGACGCTGGAAGATGTGAAGAAACAAAAGTTAAACAACGTGAAATTGTTAACTTATTTCTGCGTAAGGCAAACTTTTACTGTCACTTTGTACATTTACATACTGGGTTTTCGGATCACTGACGAATTATCTGACATTGCGATTTCATATAAATATCGTGATTATTACGGTTATCATATCAAAGAAAATAATATAGGCTAGGCATGTAGCGCGCATATATGAGGTTGAGAACTACATAGATCATTGTATTCTTAAAACCCGGAAAAAAGAGTGCTTTCGGGACTTCCATTCGTAGCTGCAAAGGTGATACTAAAATTGATCTTAAATAGTGTATGATACTGAAGACTGGATTCATGTTGCTCAAGATATAAGGAAACGGGTTATTGTGGATACAGTGAGAAAACTTTTGGATCTATAGAAGACTGTATTCTGAGTTAGTTGAGTAAGTGTTAGCCTTTGAAGAGTAAATCTCCTTCATTGAGTTAGCATGAAGATAACAAAAAATACTCCACAAAGTGAATAATGGCAAACAAATAATTTATTACTTGAATATTCCTGAATAAGTTGAGAGACAGTGCTAATTTTTATAAATATAGTTCTGATTATTTGTTAGAAAATAAAATTTTGAATTTGGTTTGTCTTTTACTGCAACATATGGCGTCTCCAATACTTGTCCTCTTGGCACGGAGTTATAGGAATGTGGGTAAGTAATTTTCGCCTGTGATCTACTGCCCACAGTACCAGCAGATCCAAACCGCTTCTTGGTAGTCTGCATTGTGGCCCTGTTAACACAAGATTAAACCGTATTAAAATTGCCGTAAATAACAATAAAAATATACTAGAATGTACACAGTGAGGTGAGTATCCAAAACTTAGACAGGCACCTTTATAGATAAATACAATGTGCATATAGTTCAACAAGCATATAAAACCATAGGCATACCATTAATTTCGAAGGCACCACGTATGGTTACAATAGAGGTAAAAAATTTCGTCTTTACTGAATTTATAGGTAAATTTTAATGGATTTCTACTTTGTCCAATAAATACAGTTTCTGGCCACCACTGTTGTAAAACTATAAAGTGCAATGTGGGATTAAGAATTTCTTGACGTGGCTTCGAAGTTCACGCTTTGTTTGTTTGTTGTCCGGTGTTGCAGTCGTTATAAAGAAAATGCCATCTCCTGAGCAAAGCGTGCAGATTATTTTGTCGTAGGCGGAAACAAAGTCATTTTGCTATGCAAAGGAACTATCGAAGAATTTACGGACGCGTTGCGCCAGATACAAAAGAAAACCATCAAGATCAGTTTTGACAAGATTTTGGCGACAGGGAATGTTGACAAACAATATGGAAGTGCACGTGAGTGCGTCCGACGAGAAAGTCGAACTAGTCCACCATGCGTTCCAGAGAAGCTCGTCTAAATCCATCCGCCAAGCGTCCAAGGAAGTCCAGGTACCAAGTACGACGTTGTACAGAGTTTTGTGCAATAGGCTACAACTGTTTGGTTACAACGTGCAGATTGTCCAGGAACTGAAACCAGATGATATGCTACATCGACGGAACTTTACTACTGATATATCGATATGAGTCCTGGCTTCCTTCCAATGAGGCTACGATTTACATGTCAGGAGAACCCAGTCAGCCAAACGCATGCATATTGGGTTTGAAAAATCCTAATGTCTACCGAGAGTTGTTACGAGGTAGTCCTACAGACAAGGTTTGGTGTGGTGTAATAAACGACCATTTGTCTTCGCTGAGGCCTGCAATAATCGGCGACGTTATTCTGTAAACCTCAAACAATTCGTGTTCAGCAAGAATCGGACTCAGAGCAGAATGTCATGACCGCTATTGCGTTCGCCGAGTGTTTAATGTCACTCCTGTGGATTTCTTTTTATGGGTATACCTCAAGGAGCTATTGCATGCCAGCCATGTCCGTGACCTCCAGCGTTACGAACCCGTATCAGTGATGTGATTGCCACAGTCACTCGGGATGTGTTTGTTAAAACATTACAATAAATGGAGTACAAACTTTGCATCTATTAAACTGTTTCGCCTGTCTTTGTCTTAAACAAAAATATATCTTTTTAGTTTTTTTTTCTAATGTCATAAAATTTTGGTTTTTCAACTGCTGTAATTTGCTTTGATCTGAAATGATGGTAGATTGGTAGGGAAATTTTGTTTTACAAACGTAATGAAGATAAAAGTACACGAGTAATTGTTATTAACCCCTCTTGTTAAAAAGAGGGGCTTCACCCTTCCACTGAGGGTCTCCGATCTTCAACAGATTGTAACACTCACAAGAGTATATATACAAACTGCCCTGAAAAATACGGTCGTTCATTCAATTGGGCGATTTCACTTTGAGAGCTGGCGAGAAGGAACTCACATTAGCCATTATTTAACAGAATATATTTATTTTCATTATTTTTAATTGGGAATAGCATACTCTTAAAAAGTACTTCTTTTAAAATTATTGTTGTCTGCAGGCTAAAATCTGTTATAGTACAGTTGGTTAAAAAGTTATGCGATAACTCTTTATGTATCGTCACAAGGCCATTTCTTAAACGTTTTGTGATCATGAGCGATATTTCAGTTTGTCGAGTAGAACATCAAACAACGAACTAGCTGTGGCTTGGAGAGCGGGTATCTATTCCAGGCAAAGGCAGAAATCATTCTCTTAGCCACCGTATCCAGGCCAGCTTTAGAGTTCACCCGTTATCCCATACATGGGTTTGTGTGCTGTTTTCTCGGGGTAAAGCAACCCGAGCGTGAAACAACTCGTTTCCATATACGTTTTAAGGTTAAGAATACGCAGACCTATACCGTCACTCCGCTATAAGACTGTACTTAATTAAAAAACTTACAACCTTAGCTTTGTATCTTATATGAGTCTATTTATAGAGAAATTGCCTGTATTATTGAGTTTTAAAATCTGTACTGAAGTTACGATAGAGGTTCAAAAATATGTGACTAATGTTGGCTTTGTAATTCACGTGTAGAACTTTCATTGTGAAGAAAAATTTGCTACAGATCTGTCTTCGTATCAGAATCCGTAGTGGAAATAATTTGCGTAAGGGTCACGTTGCATGTGGAAGTAATGTTACACAGTTACATTCGTCGCTTTCTAAACAGTCATCTGGAACATTTCCCGAACTCTCCTCGTCATGAACGTTCCAAATAACAGCTTTTGTATCTCTTGATCAAAAGAAACTTATTTTCTTGATATGTATTTAATATGTCTATCCTATGTAAACATCATGTTCTGGATCTCAATTTTCTTTTTAGGTTGAGTCAGCAAATAACAAAGCAACTTATATCAGTAAATTTGCTCAATATTTGTTACTTTTATATAATACTAATTAGCCATCATATAAAAATGGCAACAACAATGTTACAAAGTTATTGACACAAACATTTGTTGTTTGTTCTTTTGAACCTAGGTGGGGAGCTTATCCACGTTTGGCCCTTGTAAATTGTGTTTAATTAATTTCAGACTGTCTGTATGCGTGCGGTTAAAGTGAATATCGCTTCTTGATGATGTTATTTGTGTTCGAATTTTGGTGAATCCATCTTGTCTCCGACCGCTTATCCATCAAGTTGCTTAGTCACTTAATCTATTGTCGCATTTTGGCTGTATGTAAGGAAACACTGATAATAATATGGGGTATTAGGCGATAATATATTTATTTTGTACCATCTGGTCGGAGCCGAGCCCTGGTAACATTATGAACAAGTTGCCTCTGATAGGGACCTGTTCCTTGTTTCCTAGGCAAATGATTCATAAGTGGTTTGCCGTTGCCTTCTTCTGTGTGCTTAGGCGATAATATACAGAAATCTTAGGTAAAGATGTTTAAAGAGAGGGAATTAGATTTAACTAGCCTGGGATCGTATCACATGATAGATTTTTGTATTACTCGTCTTAAATCTTCGCGTTGTGCTACTGGAGAGGAGAATTAAGTTGAAGATTTCTGTCTTCTAGGTTGTTGCGCTGTGTAGTCTAGTCGATGATAACCAACGTTTCAGAGGTCATACTGCCTCCGTCATCAGGACGATGAATTCATCACCCTGATGATGGAGGCAGTATGGCCTCTGAAACATTGGTTATCATCGACCATACTACACAGCGCAACAACCTAGAAGACAGAAATCTTCATACTCACCGCTGTGAAAACCTCAAATCTTACGAGAATTAAGTTGTTAGTGATATGATAATAGGCTGTACGGAAAAAATATTACTGTCTGAACATAGGCTATATTGGATAATTTAGACTAAATTTCGTGCAAGCCGATTAACTAGTAAGTGCGTTATTCCAGTGTTCATAAGTTTCTAGGTTCTATCCTAATCATTTATTGCCTAGTGGTACATATGTGTACCACCTTCTTCAACAGTCGGTAACTTTTCACTTCATATTAACGAGTTGCATGTTTCTATGATTATTTCCTTAAACAATATTAATCAATTAGGCTTTGTAACGGAGAAGTGTTGTGTTATCTTTCAGGTATGGTCTGAATTCTTACATTTTTATTTAGACGAACTTCAGCTTCAAGGGGTTAAGAAAAATCCACCCATGTCGCTCTAAAACGGAAGTAAAACCAACTAGTGGAATTCTGTGTATGTTAAATGTATCCCGGAGTAATAAGCAAATGCACAACATAAAACTAGTTTCTTGTATCACGAACCATACATTGCCACAAGCCTTCGGGGAATCAAAGACTGTGGCGTTAATTAAAGCTGAAACAAATGTAGATTCGAGATATTAAATTTTAGACGTTTCGAAAGTTATTTAAGAATATGTACAAATTGCATAGGTTAATTAAGACAGAATGAGGACTGGCATTGATGGTGGTTGCCCATTTAAGATTAGGCCTAATTATTTCTCATTGGTTTGGATGAGCTGACCAGAATTAACAGTTCTAAGATAGCTGCCTTGTGAGTTGTAGGGCCGCGCAGTCTACACGGCGCTACAACCCAGAAGACATCCATCTCCGTATTCACCGTCGTGAAAACCTCAAATCCTACCACGAAAATTCTGCCAGTATTTCCATTGTGCTGGACAATATTTGAACCAGATACCTCTCAAAAACAAGTGAGACGTGTATGAGCTTCCTTGCAAACTCTGTCTTCAATCAGACACTCATACCAACCTGTAACCCATACTGTCGGCAATGTAGCGCACTATCCTCACGTTACCATCCGGCTCAATTACACCATAGCTTCCGGTCACTGTACCATTGGGGTGGCGCTCTTCCTGACGGAACTGTGTGTTTCCGCTGGCAGGGTCTTCCACGTCATACCCAAAAGCGTACGTGCCAGGTCCCTAAGAGAAAAATTGAGAATCAGAATGCTTCGTTGTTTTGTATTTGTACGTCATGGTATTACAAACTGTAGAGTGGATTACATAAACCTACGAGTGATAACTGACAGAATACATTACGAGAAGCTTTGTGTTGTATTGATAGTGCGGTTTACCACGTGAAGGCAGCCAGAAGACAGTCCAAACAATTTTTAAAACATTCAATCTGAACTTCAAAGTAAACTAAACACGTTTCTTTGAGATTTCAGGTCGTATATCTTCACAACGCGTCTCCATTACAGAGATCAAGTTGTTAATGTGTTGTATGGATATAATCCCTATTTACAGTGTGAATCATACGAAGCACATAAATACAGAGGTTCTTAAATATTCTAGCAGGGAGTATATACAGTGACCAACCAAAACATTATAAAATCTCACTATTAATACAAATTTTAATTTAATATCCAGCAATATTGATTATATATTAGCTTCTTAACTAACGATGTGGTTGACTATAAAATCGTATTCTTGCACATATCAGCTTGTGACTTTCCACCACAGAATTTTGCCTCTTGTTTTTTGGGTTCCAAAAACTTAGTTTCTGGCCCTAAAGGAAGGACATAGGTTATATTTGAAAATTGAACTGCTGAGGAGAATGTTTAGACCTAAAAGAACGGAAGTAATACTGCGTTGCTCAAAAGCTGATCTATGAGAAGATTTACAGTTTAAAATCTTCAAAAAATACTCAGGATATTTAATAAATGAAGATAGGCAGAACACGTAGCAGGAATTGATCAGATGAGAAACGCGCACATAATTTTAGTATTAGAAACCGAACTTAAGAGGAGACACGGGAAGGTAAGAATAAGAATAAAATAGGATATGAACGTGGGTAAAAGATTACATTAAAATGTAACTAAAAATAAGTTGACAGTTTCGACTGAATTTATTTCGCTCAGGGTAAATATTTGGTTCTTTTGAACACTATAATAGACTTTGTGTCCCATAAAAAGCGTGAAATGTTTTGAGTGACTATTACCTTTTCAAGTTTCATGGATCCAACGTTCAGTGAAGGGGTTTCTCTAATGCCGATGACTTTTTCCACAGCTACGTATTTTTGTGGAGTCTTGAATTTTTAATCATTCGTCAAGAATTATTTCTAATCAGCTGTAAAGAGTTGGTTACTGAATATGATTATTGATACCAACCAAAGTCATTGTTAAACATATAATATCTTTATAATTTTGTTTAAAAGTGGAAGTCACACCAAATTCAATTAAATTTTATTTTTTACAAAGCCCTTACTTGGTGATTCGTTTCATGATAACTCTCCCATTCCGCTTCAGAAAGTCTGCCGATAGATGGCGCACTCTCAGTAGTTGCCAACACCAACAGCACTGCTGACATCTGGTAGAGAAATCATAAACATCCAAGTTTAACTCAACACGAATGGCTTATAATGTTGAAGATATTACCAGAACTAATTCAATTTTATTTTTGGTTTATTTATATTTTTGTGTAAAGTATCAAATAACAGGAATATTAATGAAGTTGAATATTTATGTAAAGAAACTATTATGATCTGATTTGCGTAGAGGTACTCTGGAATACAACGTAAAACCTCAATCAGAACAGCTGGACTCAGGGCAAAATTTGAACCAGAGTCCTGTCGAATACGAAGCAGGAGAGCCCTAGTATTTTAAAACCAACAATAAATTCGATGAATTACGTTGGCTTTCTGTTTAGTTTCATAAAATTCATTTTGATAGTGTATGAAATGTGGTCTCCATGTCAACAAATTCGAGTATGCTAAATACTGACGGTTTTAGTTAACTGTGAAACTGTGTAACAGATGACATCCACGAGCACTTACATTCCTTCTACTAATAAAAGAAACTGTAAGTTTCTATGCGTCACACAGCTACAGCGTCCGACTTAAAGAACACAACACATTTTCAACTTTTGCGCACTCAAGGTCATGCGACTTCTTACAGTGATAACGCTGTATCAGTTAGTGTCGAATTTAATTATGTTAATCAACTTCTTTAGGTTATACCCGAAACTAGTGGATCGGAAATTTAGTGTATATAGCGTGTAAGTTTTGGAATATGTCAGTCATAATTTCACATCAAAATTAATTAAAATTGCCAGGTACAGCACATACAAAAGTTACTGTGAAAGACAAATGGTTTCGTGTGATTTGAGGTATTCACAGCGGTGAGTATGAAGATTTCTGTCTTCTGGGTTGTTGCGCCGTGTAGTGTGGTAGATGTTAACCAACGTTTCAGAGGTCATACTGCCTCCGTCATCAGGGCGATGATCTTCACAAATAGTTTCACTGACATAAAAACAGCAGTCATTACTTGAAAAGGCTTTTATTCTTTATGTACAGGAGCTTATGAAAAGAAATAAGAAGGATGATTGTATTAATATAATTTTCTGGGCCACTGCACTCAGAAAAGAAACATTATCCACAATACGACTATGATTGTATGACTACAATGGTTCATCTGCAGAGAAAGGCAATGAAGGTCAGAGTAGCCATCCATCCTAAATTTTCTTAAGGTTTCTTCGTCTTTTTAATGGCCCGCAATCTGTTCACAAACTTGTGTCGTTGAAAAAAGACAAAGTAAGATATCTTACATAAACACCTTTGTGCAAGAACGATCTAAGAGTTTATTTAATCTATTCACTTTTGGAAGATCTGTTCAGAAATACACTTTTGCCTGTGATTTATTTATTTGTACGGCACTTTCAATAGTACAGATTATATAGAGTAGAATGATGGGACGATTAGTGAATAAACGATGTAGAATAAAGCTGTTCTGGAATAATTTAAAGTGCCATTACGGTATTTAAGTTTATGGACTGAGGAAAATTACAGGAACATACGAGTCTCCCGTCCACACAATACGAAACAGGAGTGTTAAAGTCAGGGGACAGAGTCCGTCTTGGGAATCTAACAGTCGCTTACGTATTCAAGAAATCCTCCTATTCCTTTAAGCCAATATGTTAATTACTGGTACTGCATTTACAAGTGCGCGCCATTGACCCTTATCATGAACCAGATGAATCCAATTAGCATCCTACCATGATGTTCCCTGAAGTATAGAGCTGGTACAGGGACTAATAATAGTATTTTTAATTCATTAAAATTTTTTCTCTGCGCAATATATTCTTGCGACACAATATATCACAAACATAAAATTAAGTTCCAAATTCTCTCCGTGGACATTTGAACTTCTAGCAGTAGAAAACAATTAATTTTATTTATGTAATTTATGAATTTGCATCTGTTAAACAAAATAAAATAAGAAACATAAAACTTGAAATTGTTTGCGAAAAAACTCTAATTAGTTGTATTTTTGGTTCTGCCTTTAAAAATTAAATAAACACAAGTTTTGGGCGAGAGACCAAATACAAACATATGAAGTGTTTTTGCTACATATCCATCCTTAAAAGACAGCGTAGAAACTATTTAGGTGTATATAAACATACTTTCCTCAGACTAAACAGTTTGTGAATAGCGAATTAAGTTGTGTCGTTTCATTTATTTTTATTATTTATATTAAATATATATCTGATCGTCCAAATTCAAGTACCTGGGAAAGGATGATTTTCAGGTTACTGAGTGAAAGTCTATGCTGGTATAAGCCAGTCACAGTATTCTAATGCAGCTAGTAATTCTTTCTTAAAGGTGGAAATTCAGTACATATTACCTTGGCGCACATCCAACATGAGCAGGGCCTGGAAGATGGTCGTAAAGACACGTGTAAGTATGAGACACTTAAGAAAACTGAGTCGACCTCGCCTGTTATTTGCAAGTACAAGTATTGACAGTAAAACTGACAAACTCCATGAAACGGAGATCTTCTTGAGAAGCTAATACTCGATCAACTGTGTGATCTAAAGCTTTCACGGCGATTAAATATAATAAATTATTATCCGGCTACCTGGGTACATCGTCCTCAGGTTACCAGGATTTTCTAACCAGAATTTTGTATGAATTGTCTTTCAGGCTGTCCATGCGTGTTACATAAAACCCATCTCATCCTACTTAATTTTATCTCGTGTAAAATAGCGAAATTTCTTTTAATACTACACAACTATTTTTCAGCAACGTACGTGAACAAATAGTACCCAATGGGGGTATTGACACAAAGTTGAGAGTTTCTCTGAAATGTTTCCTGACATTTAAACAAGCTCCTATGGCATTGGACAACATAATACTGAAACCTACTGTGACTAATCGGTTTATATTTAGCTTCCATCGTATTATCAGTTTACACACAATAAATAACCTTAATCTATTTCATGTCAGTTATTTAGTTGTCAATTATATGATCAATATTAGCAACTCTGATGATGTCACAAGACTGTGAGAAATGTACATGTAGAAAATCAAACTTTAGTCACGAAAGTAGATCATAAGAATTGTATCTGAAATGAAATGTAACGCCCGTAGCTTGACTTAGGAAAATATTGGCTTGAAATAAGTAACATATGACGGTTATTTGTTCTTATTGTTGTGTGTACACTAAGAATAATATAGAATGTAAGATTTGAGGTTTTGACAGCGGTGAGTATGAAGATTTCCGTCTTCTGGGTTGTTGCACTGTGTAGTGCGCAACAACCCAGAAGAGAGAAATCTACAATAATATAGAAGCTTAATTTAATCCACAACTTGACCCTGAAGTATAAATTTGACATTCTATATTTTAGTTATTTCTTTATAGATGGATTACGTACTGATATAAATGAATTGCGAACAAATTATAGGTTACTTCGAAGTTTATGCAACATACTATAGTATCATCCAGCAACTTATAAAATATTGGGATATATTCGATAAGATTTCCTGTACAGACATCTTGTTACAAGAGTTATACGTGTTCAGATTGCTCCCAGAGGGCACCAGTTATTCCAGTTCTGGTAATAGCTACTTTAATTAGCCACAGGCCCTAAACCATTTTCCTCTTAACTGTCTTAGTCCTGTATAATTGCTATTTACACCTCACGGGCATTCATCTACGATGTTCAGGTTTTGTACCAGCTTATGAAAAACGATATTATTAAGTGTACTTCTGGAAGGAGCAACTTAGGGCCTAAGGGAAATACATCTTGTATCTCCTTAAATGAAACAAAGAAAATCTTTGCACAGAATATTTTAAAATCCAGGTTCGAACTCTGACGCTTAGTAATAAGTATCAGGTATTGTAGGTTATGCAAATCAACACTTTGTCGAAACGTTATAAAACTGTACACTAGTAAAGTTAACCAGAAAGCCGTTTAATCAGACAAGTCTTGTAATTTGGCGGCAGAGAGGAACTACGAATGCATGAAATCATAAATCGAGTATGTAAAATCTAGCAAGTGAATTAATTCAATTCTGTTCCAACATTTAATAAAAATATTAATATAATATAATTTCCAAAATTTTGGTCTTGTAAAGATTCTTTTAACGTTGTTAATTTTACAGTTATTTTTTAAATATTTAGTTCAAGTTTAAGTGTACAGATTAATATTTATAGTGCGGGATTTTATAATTGTAATATTTACATTTCTCTGACGAACATATGTTTTCAATGACGTGATAATAAGGAGAATACCGAATTTTTTAATATTTTAAAAAGCTTTTTAGTACATAAAATGGTATGGATTTTAAATTTTTCATAACCATTGGCGTAAAATATTAACTAAGACATTTTTCCCTCTAATATCGACAAGGATTTCTAAAACGATGTAAAATTGTACGTTATTCGCTTGGTCTAATATTAATAAATCGCTTTGAATGTTTCCATTTCGTTATGTACGTGTTGAACATACAGTCTTCGTTCATATATCCTTATAACGTTTTTACAGAATTTCTGGAATTCTTAATGGAATTCATTATTAACAATCACACAGAACATAAACAATGTTACCTGCAGAAGCCTGCGTGCCATCGTGACGTCAACAATGTGTTGCAGTGCAGTAGTAGAACTGTTTGTTGGATCGACCGCTCGCACACGATAGTTATATACAGGCCATGGGCTCCTCCTCCCACATGGGCTGGATGCGGGCTCTGAGAGGGGCCTGTCCCATCGGAATATAGTGGCAATCATCCTAACCTGGAAACTCGTCTTAACGATTGGGAATAGTTATATTTTTATTTTGACGCTGTGTGGTAGCGTAAAGTGTCAGTAACTTTTCAAAGGAATATCAAACCTTGTTTAGGATGAAAATTAATCTAAAACGTTGGTAACCATCTCAAAGAGCACAAGGCTTTACAACGTAGACTATTACATTCGATGTGCAAACACGAAATCTAACCTGACATTATAAATTTTGCACGTACGAGGAGTGACAAACCTATTTCTAACACAATTTTTGTATATTTACAAATACCGCTTGGTGTGGAGATAGCAAGATTGTATCTTCTAAAGGAAAATGAGTTGTTCGTCTTTTCTGGATAATATGTCTGTCAACGAACTTTTTATCGTTTTCTCCAGAGCAAATTCTGTCGTATTTTTCTTTATTTTTTGTGATCGTTTACGTATTTATGATTAAGCCTGATTGACTTTTGCATAAAACATAAACATATCATCATTTTCAGCAATATTAGCAAAAAGAATCATGAAGACTTGGCTTAAATTTCCTGATTAATACCTTCTATCAGAATACACGGCGCAACAACGCAGAAAACAGCCTTCTACACAGTCGTCGCTGCGAAAATCTCAAACCTCACTTAACACTATCACTTATAAGAATTTTTCATTAAGAATTTATCAATCAATTATATATAATGATATAAATAATATTTACTAAATTAAAATCCTTGATGAATAAACAACTTTGAGATATTGCGTTTCGGTATAAATTGTGTTGAGGCTTACAGTATTGTATACAACAGAAATTCGTTCTCAGATTACGCACAACATGGCTGTACAGACTAACAAATGAATAGATGTGTAACATAGTATTGTCGCTTCGGGACGGAGTGTGACGGTTAAAATACGGGGCCATCTGTAGCTGACGTTCTCATAGTCGAGTGAAACACGCTCAGTGTGAGGAGGGAAGGCAGAGTACTTCAGCCTGGCGGTGTTTTCCTGTGTTCAGCTACGCCCCTTACGTTGAAGGATCTTCCAACGCAGCGGTCAGCCACGTTTAGGACCGTGAGATTAATTCGCAAACCTGCACGCTTAAATACGACAGTGCTTGTGTATATTCTTTGTATCACAAACTTAATAATGCCTGCGTGTCCATGGTACGTCACAATGTCCTCTCAACTATCACCATTGATAGAATCTTGGTTATTAGTAGCAGCAGGGTCAGACGTTTTAGTAGTTAGAGATTAGAGGGTCGTCAGCACTACATAACTAACTAACTAGATGGCTTACGGAACCCGAAGGTTCATCACCGAATTAACCAAAGCCCTCCACCGGACCCTGTCCTGGGCCAAAAAAATCCAGTCTCCTTCGACTCCTATCTCCCATAGATCCCGCCTGACATTAACCTCCCATCTACGTCTAGGTCTCCCCAGCGGTCTCTTCCCCTCAGGCTTCCCAACCAATATCTGGTGCACACCTCTTGTCCCATCCATGCGCGCTACATGCCCCGCCAATCTCATTCTTCTCCACTTAATCACCCTGACAATACTGGGCGAGGAAACAGATTTTTAAGATCATCATTATGCAGTTTTCTCCATGTCCCATCGTCTTCCCTCTTAGGCCCAAATATCCTCCTCAACACCCTATTCTCAAACACCTGCAATCTGTGTTCCTCCCTCTGAGTGAGAGACCATGTTTCGCTCCCGTACAAAACAACAGGTAAAATCATTGTTAATGTTTCAAGTGTATTTTAGCATCATGATGTGTTTCGTCTCAAGGTCATCACGAGGTAGTGCGACACGTATGAAATGGCATTCTTGCTTTTGAACTATTATAAGCTCTTAAACAAAACCATTAGCATTCATCCAGTTCAGTACTGGTATCATAATGATGACATTCAGTTATGAACATATGGATCAGTTAAAATATTATTATTGCTAAAATTAAAATTCGTCTTGATTACGGAGGCAGTAAGCAAGTCTGAAACGTCGGTAAATTTCTACCAGACTAAATGGGTTAACATCCCAGAAGTCAGTAATGTTCATATTCACAAACGAGTGAACTTGGAATCACACCAAGATTTAAACTACCATTTGTTTGACAAAGGTGCACGATCTTCAGGGATTTCTAAATTACATTTTTGTATAATTCATATTTGTCAAACATGTCTTGTATCTTGAAATTAATTTTAAGTAATTAATAATATTAATACAGAAGACTGAATTGGTTTGAGTCGTGGAGAACTGAAAATTAAAGTTCTTAATAACGGAGCTTATAGTTAAGATGCGTCATGTTTGTGTTTACAATTCATATATATATTTATTCTTCAAGTCTATACACAAACCATTTTAAATATTGATGTTAAAAATTAAAATTGATATAATTGATAATTGAGGAAACGATGAATAGCGCAGAATATTTATATCAATTTTAATTTTTAACATCAATATTTAAAATGGTTTGTGTATAGACTTGAAGAATAAATATATATATGAACGGAGCTTATATAAACTTATAATTTCAGTGTCTAATATTATTTTGCACATGATAAGCTGACAGCCCCTTAATATGACGGATGGAACAGTCTATTTGACTCTTAAAAGCTAGACGTACTGCGGACAGGTGTAGCCTATAGACTCACCCTCACACAGCCATTTCCCCCTCCAGAGCCAACCCTCGCTACCTTATCATATCAAGCAGAAGCTTGTAACTGATTAGTTCAGAGGATACATTCGAAGTAGCGTGACGTGTTCTTTGTTTTTCTTTATCTTTGGAACTAAAGTGTTGTAATCATGAAGGGGACCCTTTAACGTTGGTACGTAATGTTGAAACAGTAATATTAAATGCTAACACATGTGTTTAAGCTGTATAAATTATGATACATCTTCAGATAACCCGACACCTAACCTCGATATATTAGGCTACAATTTATGCGATTCTGCTCTGACGGATAAACAGCGTTTCAATGCGTCTTTGAACAAACTGTGCTTCATTTTCTCAGTAATGAAGCACTAACATTTTATAAGACTCGCTTAACACTTCACAACATATTAATAATATATGCTACTTCCGGGGTAGATATTTCATCGACAGGGCTCCATTTTGAAGTCGGGCTTGGCGTATGTTTTGCACAAAGTGGAACATGTAGGAATTTACAGAGATTTGGCTGAAAGTTTTGTTTTAACAGCTTCAACTTTTGTTAGTTTTGTAAAACTTAGCCGAATTGAAGAACTTTATATTTATTGTATTAATTATAAGTAGTTTTATTCCAGAAAATATTATTTTACAACAGTTAGATTGTAGGCTACACTTCCACAGGTTTCCTTGCATTACGTTACGTTAATGTTTTGCATGCATTATTCTGCCTTTACATTAATCATATTTGCAATAGAATTTAAGTTCTCTGTGTTTCTAACAGCGGCAAAGCGACATTGCACTTTACGAAAATAATAAGGGATGATTAAACTAGAGATTAAAATTTAAAAAAAAACTACGATGCTGTCTTCTCTTTTGTATGCGAGTGATGACATAGATTAAGAGTTTGGAAACAGGATGCTGAGGGAAATATTTGGACCTAAACGAGAGAGACAAAATAACAGGAGGATGGAAATAGCTGCATAATGAAGTCATTCATAATTTGTAACGTTCACCATCTGTTATTAATGTGCAGTAGCGAATACACCGGGCTGGCTGGTTAAGTGGTGCCCTGTCAGAACACTAAAATTGGAGGAGTATGAAAGAATTATTTACTATACTACTCAACAGCGACATAAAAGTAGTAATAAGTTCCCACAATAGGGTGTTTGTCAACGGCAAAAAACCTATGGCAGGCAAAAACAAATAATTTAATTAAATTAAATTCTTTACTTTAATGTGCCGACTCAACAACTACAAGAATCATATTTACAGAGTCAGAATAAATAATAATAATAACAACATTAGAAATTTTTGTTGTTGTTGGGTGGGGATTAATAATATTAAATTTCCGCAAAACCCGGATTTACATTTTCTGTACATTTTACAGGATATCAAGTGGTTTCTGAAGGAACATTAGACAAAATAAAGTGCTTGGAACTTCTACACGTGAGAACCGAAATAATTATCAACGAAAGACGTGGGCATGTTTAATTATAATTATCATTTTTAATTGTCTTACGTCTAAGAATTTAAATCGGTGTATGTAGTTGCATCTATGTGTCATTCATGCCCCATTTGATTTGACTGTCGTGGTATTGCTTCCGACTGGCTATCTGTGTGTATCCATCCGCGGTTCTGAGCTCGTGTGACGGAGCTTCTATTCTGTGTCAGTGCCAATGACATTGAAGTACGTCTTTTCCTCGCAGTAAAAAATAAAATGCGGTAACTTACTCATATACCAGTTAAATCGAACCACCGTGATTTTCCAACGTAGAGTAATACGTTTTAACTGAAAGCTATTCGTTATCGGGAACATATTTCTCAACGTGACAGAACTAGAGCATCGTAATCGGGAATTCCGGATTTTAAGTTTAGGTCCAGAGACCGTCTATCTTGACTGAGGTTTCTCGATGTTTCCTTGAGTTTCCTCCAGGCAGATACTGGGACAGTGACTCAAATTCGAACAGGACAGCTTCGTTCCTTTTCAATTCACTATTAATTCACTAGTAAATAATTAGTTTTTAAACGAGGGGAAATCTAAAGTAGTACTTAAAAATAGAAATATATTTGCATTGATAAACCTAACACAGAAGCAATTAAAATTGAAATCATTACATATCTCTCTTTATTAAATAATACCATATTATCTAATACAGCGCAAATAGTGATTTTAAAAAATGAACATTAACGAACTGGTGTGTGTGTATCTTATAAAACGAAACTATATATTTTGTGCTATTGACAGCGTCGTCAAACACGTATAAATTGGC